TTCTTCTCCGGCGATTTTGAATGGCTCTTTTGAGTTTTGTTAGTGTCTCGCAGTACCTGTCCCAATTTATAGTGGACCCTTTAAGCATTAACTCGGTAAGCAAGACACATTTTCGGTCCCAAAACTCGATGGCCACCCGCTCCTTTGCTCGTCGTGAACGTCTGTGCGTCCTTCGGAGAACTCCCTGCACCATTTGAGGACGTGCTGGACGCTGATGCAAGTTTTGCCATGAACTTCTTCCAACTGTCTATGAATTTCAATAGGTGTAAGCTTTTTCGTGTTTAAAAATCAAATGACTGAACGGATTTCACACCTGGCGGTGACGGCGATTGCGCGCTCCATCGCGGATGGCTGTTGGACTGACACTAAGGTTTGCAGTGATCTTCCAAGGAGTTGGAATGGAGTGGCAAGGATCAATAATGATAATGGTGTTGCCGGATTTCCCTAGTATCTCGAGCGCAAATGTACAGCGTGGGAACCTTATTTTTTACATGACCCTCGTATAATAACAAGCTTCTTCGAACTTCATAGAATTGGGTGGACTAGACAAATCTCCTTTACCAAATCATGAAAAAGTTCTCCTCTCATACAGTCATGACTAGGAGAATATCTATTCAATTCTGATAGAGGGTAAACAAAACAATCTAATACAAAACCACAACAGTGTGGAAATCCAATGAAAAGAAAGTAATTTCAATTCTAAATACCCTTTGCAAAGAAAAGAAGAAAATTCACAGTGAAGGACATAATTCTTGCTTTGAAACTGTACAAAAAGTCTGCAAAGGCATCAAATGCATGAATTCTTATTCTGTTTATTGAAAACACCTGGTTTTATAGTTTTTTATTTTTTATGGAAGTTTTAGTGTTAATGTTTTCATCATGATCATAAAATGGGTAAATGTGATGTTTAAAAAACACTCATACACAGAAACTATTCAAAGATTTCGTCAAATGCAACTTTATTACTGATTGATTAGATAGCTAAATAACTATTAAATGAAGAGATAATAAGAAGAATGACTCGTAAAATGAATTGGAATCCTAAGGAATTTAGTTTTATCTCAATTTGGATATCAATATATATTTTTCGTTTTTAGGATTATTTGTTTGGAAAATATTCGTTCTAGTTTAAAATTTACCTGTTCTTATTATCCTTTTAAATTTTTGCATTACTGGTCATTCCTACTAAATTTGTCATTCCATCGCTTGCGCTTTCTTCTTAGTTTTTAAGTTTTAATATATTATTATTAGTCATTAAGTAATTAATATTAATAAGTTATTCTCTTTAATTTGTAGTACTTAAAAAATATGTCTCCATTATACTTTAATTAATAGTAGTCAGATATTTCTATTTAGTTTATAATTCTTAAAAAAATATGTCTGATATATTTGAAAATATATTT